TTATCCCTAACCTAGCTGTGCTTTTCCCTATCTTATGAACAGCAGCTACACTTTCCCTCCTCTTACTAAGCATGCAGCTTGAGAATGAATCTAAAATGGATGCTGTCCAGTAGGTGGGAGGGTCTGCTAGGAAGGCTGTGCTGCTAATTGGCTGGAATGTGTCTGCTGACTGTGAGGTACAGGGTCAAAGTTTACTCAATGATGACGAATAGGGGGCGGGTCGAACCGCGCATATGTTCGCACGCCGTGGCGAACGCGAACATGCTATGTTCGCCAGGAACCGTTCGCCGGCGAACCGTTCGGTACATCACTATTGTCTAACTAATAAAAGGATAACCTATTCGCAAGAAAATACGGTCAATATCAAATTATCATGACTATGTTATCAAGGTGGTTCATTGGAATCAGCTGAAATCTATTTTTTTTTATTTTATACCAAATACCATTACAATTTTTTAGAAATATATTTGGGGCCAGTACAAACCATTATCTGGAAATCTATTCATAAACAGGGCTATACATAGGACACAAGGTCACACATTTAGGCTGGAAGGAAGGAGATTTCATCTAAGGCAAAGAAAAGGTTGTTCCATAAGGATATGGAATTCTCTGCCTGAAGAGGTGGTTTTATCAGAGTCCATACAGATGTTTGAACTGCAACTGGATTGTAGCGGAGGCCTGGTATTTCACAGGTTAACTCCACTAAGATCCCAGTGAGGCTCAGGAACAAGTGATGAAAAATCCCATGAAGCAATAATTCCAATAAGCAAGTCAATCCAAGAATATCCCCATACAGATCCCAATGACTGGACGACACACAGCATCAGGAGCAGAACTGACTTTTATTACACACAACCTCCTTTTAAGCATGTCTCCCATGCAAGGGAGGAATTCACATTCATTAGGACAGTACCCAATGCCATAGTAGTTACCTCCCACCCATCTTCCTCCCATTAGTAAGACACCTAATTCCATTATACAAGACACAGTTTTCCCCAAGTTCTGGATGTACCCCAAGATTAGCAGGTACACCCATACTTATGGTACCCCCTGGTAGACCTGATCTGGGTGACCAACATATCCAAAATTCACCCAGAGCAGACCAGGGGTTTGGGAGTTAGGTGGAGGGTGAAATTTGACCGACCGCACACAAGGTGGTATCCGAAACGGGATCCATGCATTTTGGCCCTGCGGTCGGTCTCCGTTCGGGAGGTAAAATACAAAGAAATACATGCCATCCACGATTAAACTGTCATTCACCTGAATGCCCTTGTTCTGTACTCCAAACTCACCGAACGGGGGGCTGATTCGTCTTCCCGTTCGGGAATTATGGAGCTCTGGAGGTGTCAGCAGTGTTCGGGTAATCGAGTGTCCGATTTGAGTTCCAGACACTCGACGACCAAACACCGCTGAGTCTTTCGTGCATAAGATGGCTGCCGCCACGCGTTCGTATGCCGAACGGCGGCCACCCAGTTACATCAATAAACCACCTATTAGTCTGCGGTTAACACATTTTCGACAGCTTAATTGGGAACACACTTCACTCTGGGGAGGTCTATTAGTTCGGTAGTTTCCATTCGTATGAAATGCAGATGGAAACTACCGAACAAACATACGAATGCCATTTACAGGGAATTACAAATCAGACACAACACACGAATTACAGGATTCTCATAGTTTTTTAAGGACAGCCACAGTGCCATCCGCTACATGGATAAATACTTGCAAAAACACAACATACAGGGATATAATTTCTAATTAGTGGGGTAATAGCTGCTTGAGACATCTGACTGCTATTTTGGGGTCAAGAAGGAATTTTTTCCTAGTTTGTTGCAAAAGCGCTTCAGACTGGGTTTTTTGCCTTCTTTTGGATCAACAGCAAAAACATATGTGAGGAAGGCTGAACTTAATGGACGCAAGTCTCTTTTCAGCTATGTAACTATGTAACTATGTAAAATAGAATAAATCAAATTAGAGCAGCAAAACATTCAGTAAGTCACACTTTCATATAATCAAAACTGTTGGTTGTTTTCTCACTCTTATTTAATTTTTTTTAAAGGGATGAATTATTGATTAAGCATGTGCACATGCAGATAAAGGAATCCACAGTTTGTTGATGACAAATATATGGTTAACAGGGTAGAAAACTGCCACAATTCAATCACAGAATGTATAGTGCTTCATCTATTTTTATGGAAGGAGAATTTACTGTGTGCAGTAAACATTCCCATGTTTTGAAGCATAGAAAAAAAATATTACAATACCAGATACACAGTACGTGATATAAGTATGCAATATCATGACAAATACAGTTGTCTAATCACAGAAAAGGCACTATGTTACCACCAATGATGAGAAGATATCACCAAAAAAAAAAATAATTATAGATATTAGAGAGACTTATATAACATATTTCTTTTCTTTCCTCCAAATAATTTGATAATAGTACCCTACAATGTTCATCTATATCCCTCAAAAAATTAACTGTTAAATGTTTATTAGATATAAAGAAAGATAGTTCTCTTTGTCAACAATAATTCAGGTTAAGGCCCTTAACCCCTTAAGGAATAATAGTTTTTTGTGATGTGATTTGTTTTGTGACCAAGGCCTTTTTGGCCCCTTGCCATGAGTTCTTTCTACCACAATTTCCCCTGTTCAGTTTAAGTGCACTGTTACGGTTACCTCAAGGCTGGCTGGAAGTTGGACCGTAGAAAGGATGCTCCTAGCGCTCACCAAAGGACCATCAGCACCGTAGATACTATAAGCACAGCAGACTCCACGAACCGCCGCTGCTGGGCTGAGATCTCACCGTCTTCTATTGACCCTGGACCTACGACCAGGCTCCAGGTTCTAGTAGATGAACCTCTTACTTCTGTAGAGTGAAGCAGGAACAAGAGCTCTTACAAGAGCTCAGTAGCTAAGGGAGTATGAAGAGCATAGCAATCCCTGTAGTGATTATAGCTGTCCCCTACAAACATGAGTCAAGGCTGCAAGTTAGAGGGTCAAGTAGTTCTCTTTAATTGGCACCAAAGGGCTTTCTTTTATGGAGGTCTTACACATACAGGACCGCCCAAAGGGTTTTGCAGAACAACCAATAACACACGTACATTACAGTAAAACACTCCCAGCAATTACACACAAAATCCTCCCCGCTGCCTGTGATATAATTATCGTATAGAATTGGTCAACATAATTTTCACAGGCAGGAAAAATACAGTTTTTACACATGTACTGTAACTTTAAAAATATACATTCAATCTTCATAAAAATTACATATTCGAACTCAACACACTTTAAACATAAACACTCTTAAAAATCATGCAACTCCGTCCAGTAGACCAGTAGATAAAAAGTTAGACGGAAGTCCTTTATGACCGACCACAAGCACATTTTCCTGCCCAAAACAGTTCCATAGATTTGGGCTGTGCAGTCAGTCTATTTCAGGCAGAAAATGACTAATTCCCATTCGAACATGTGTTCGAATCGTCGAACGGGACTTAGTCTCTGTAGCTGAAATCTGAGTGTAGGAGAAGGTAAGGGTCAGCGGTGTTCGTTGAAATGTGTAGCCGATTTCAGTTCCATGGATTTGGCTACACACACCGCTGACCTCGTTCGAATGAACAAAGATGGCTGCCGCCAGGTGTTGGTTTTCACGAACTGTGGCCACCCAGCGGTCGGAAATTTACCTACAGCAGGATCCCAGCCTGGGAGGTAAATTGCATGCATGCTTCCATTTCTGGGTGCTCCGCCTGTGTGGTACTTGGTTCAGTAAGCCCCATTTACTGAACCAAGTGTAAAGAAGCCATGAATATAGTACTTTAACCAAGCCTGGGGACACTGGGGACACAGGCTTAAAGGGGCAGTGTCCCAAACAATTTTCCTCATGTCCCAAAAATGTGCTCAAAGGGCCAGCTACAGTCCTATAAAAATCCATAAGCTCCAAAATGCTCACAGACTGTTCTTAAAGGGCCATACACACCCGGGCCATAGTCATGAGGAAGGAGGCTGGTAATAAGGCTTCTCCATAATTTGTCACTCCATAATTTGTCACTTAAGAGACAGTTACATAAGTCCGTTTGTAACATACACCAAAACATATAATTATTATTGCCATTTATATAGCGCCAACAGTTTGCGTAGCGCTTTACAATATTATGAGAGGGGGAATTTAACTATAAATAGGACAATTACAAGAAAACTTACAGGAACAACAAGCTTACACTCTATAGGTTAGGGCTTTCTTTTGATATGCTATAAGTATACATAATGCAAGATTGCAATTCATGTTCAAAGAGTTTGATTAAAAATATAAAATATACTAAGCATTATAAAACATCTATAGGTCACGTGATTACGTGATGATGTAGGAACGTGTCATGAGCATCGTAGGTTTGGCTACATGGTGATAGGAGAAGTGAGGCGAGAGAGCCACACGAGCCGCATGGTATGTTAGCGTCTTTTTGGGGGGCATACCCAGCTGAAAACATATGGACCTTTTTGCTGTAGCTGCATCTTGTCTGAAGGCAGAGCCAGGCTTACCCCCGGCCGTTTTGAAGGTTGGAGCTGGGCGATTGAGAGTTTGGAAACCTACGACCTGTGTGCAGTTAACCGAAGCAACCCGATCGGAGCTGTAAGTCTGCTGATAATCAGGCATCTGATGTACCCAGTTGGATTAATATTGCGGTTTGCATTTATACCTTATATTGCCGGGTCAGTGTGTGAGGTATAGCTCTTCAATAGCGACAGAAGATAACTATTGTTTTCACTAGCCTCCTCGCGTAAGATAAGCACTTGTTAACTTGTATGAGTTATAATTCAAGGAGTCAAGAGAGGTGCTCCCTCAAAGAGATTTCCAAGTGAACACCTGCATTTTAATATCATGCCCACTCAAGGGAAGGAAAGGGAAAGGGAGAAGAGAAGAGAAGAGAAGAGAAGAGAAGAAAGGGAATATAAGGAAGAGGAAGAATAGGAGCCAGAAGGGGACTGAAGAAAGGAAAAACAAAGTGAAAGACCGAGGGGTGGAAACCCTAGAGTTGAGATAAAGAGTCCAGACTAGTAGAAGATCTTAAAGAGCCAGATAAGGTCTTATAGTGGGACTGTGATGTATTCTACAAGAGCGTGAAATAATGTTTTAGTAGTGACATGAACGTGATATAAGTGTCTATCTAAGCTTGCTCTAGTTCTCACGTTTATTAGGAGGGCTCTACTATAATATACGGTCAAGAGAAAGCAGTTATACACCTGAGAACTTAAGATAAAAGAACACATTGTTATGAATATATTTTTCTTTCGTTTCCTGACCATTATTCATGGCAGCATTTACTCATGGGTTAGCTCCCCCTCCCCCCACCCACCCCCCCCCCATTCCCATCAGGCAGTCTTCTTTCCTGTCCTTCACAGCAGTTTGGAAGGAGTCTGTTTAAGCAGGCAATATTTTTTAGGCCCTGCCGGGGTACAGCCTCTAAGCCCCGAAGACCAAGCAAAACGCACTAAGATGAAGTGGCTAGCCTGGGTTAACCTCTCCCTTGAATGAAAATGGCCCACTGCATGCCAGGGTTCAGCCTCTTATTCCTGAAGACCCAGCAACAGGCCAGCTTGGGTACCCCTTCAGGGAATGTATGTGATATACTGCCTACATGAAGCCAGGCCAGGGTTCAGCCTCTTACCTCTGAAGACCCAGCAAACAGCATATCGGTAAGAGTTGCCAGCCTGGGTTCCTACTTCAGCAATCAGGAGTCTAACCTATCTCTCTCCCTGAGGGGATGACAGCGGTACACTGCATACATGAGGCCTAACAGAGTTGTGACTACCGGGGTATACCTATTCTATGTATTCCACCTTGTATGGTGATAATGAATGGCATATGGGGTACAGATGGAAGCCTATAGTTTAAACAGTTTAGGCTGTCAGTTGTTCAAATCCTCATTTTGCCGCTGAAACACAGGCCTGCAACGGTTCAGGTAACTGCATTTGTAATTTAGATTAAAACTAGTATAGGCACCTGGGTCTCTGTTCTTTCAGTCCCTCACAGCTGCTTACATTAGGCTTCCTTCTAAAATATAGGTCACATTTAGGAGATTTGTGTGGTGAGCATTTAGGTAAGTTTATAAGGATGTTTGGTGCAAAGTTGTGCTAATAATGCAAAAAGAGTGCTGATAATGCAACGAGGCATTGTACAAAGGAGTGCTGATAATGCAATCAGACACTGTGAAAAAGAGTGCTAATAATGGATATCATGGCTGTATAAAGTCTACTGGAATTCCACAGCCTGAAGACAGAGAAATATCCAAGGTAAGGGAACCTTCTTGGGTGTCTGATTAAGGTACACACATGTTTATGACTGGTTTTAAAAACCTAACTCTAAGTCCACACACAAACTTGTTTCTATCAAGGTATGTGGCATTGATTGCTGTTATCTGTGCATTATCACAAATAAGCAGGCTTTGCAGACAGTGGAAGAATATACTGCACAGGAGACCACTGGGCCTCAGTATCTGTACATGAACTGGTGGTGACACAGCATGGTATGTTTCCACTATATGCTCTAATGTATGAATTGGTATGAAGTCTCAGTGTGTGTCCAGTATATGCTCTAGGTATGAGTTACTATGAGGACACGGCCTCAGTATATATATATATATATATATATATATATATATATATAGTTAATACAATGCTAAACAAAAATCTGCACACCAGTCAAACCATAAGACTTGCTTTTCCCACAGAAATCCCAAATCAGCAGTGATGTTACAACCGCAAAGGATTCTGGGTGGGCATATGCAAATTAGTTTAACAAAGAATCACATTTTTGCCTCATTCCATTTTAAACATGGATTCCTTTTAATTTGTGTTTGCAGTATACAACTGCTTGGAACACAATTTAGGATAAGATGCAAAACCAGTGAACCACTCATGGACAGCTGTTTCGTTGTTAATGCAACTCTTCAGCATGAGGTTGGTTACTGGTTTGCTTATGGAGGCTTGGTAGTGCTTGGAAGCAAGATCCAAATAGATTATGGTGGGGAAAAATTGTGATTGAAAACCCCTTCCACCTGAAGTATGTGGATAGTTAATACAATGCTAAACAAAAATCTGCACACCAGTCAAGCCATAAGACTTGCTTTTCCCACAGAAATCCCAAATCAGCAGTGATGTTACAACCGCAAAGGATTCTGGGTGGGCATATGCAAATTAGTTTAACAAAGAATCACATTTTTGCCTCATTCCATTTTAAACATGGATTCCTTTAATTTGTGTTTGCAGTATACAACTGCTTGGAACACAATTTAGGATAAGATGCAAAACCAGTGAACCACTCATGGACAGCTGTTTCGTTGTTAATGCAACTCTTCAGCATGAGGTTGGTTACTGGTTTGCTTATGGAGGCTTGGTAGTGCTTGGGAAGCAAGGTCCAAATAGATTATGGTGGGGAAAAATTGTGATTGAAAACCCCTTCCACCTGAAGTATGTGGATATATATGCACTATATGCTCTATGTAGGAGTTACTATGAGGACACGGCCTCAGTATATGTACCCACTATATGCTCTGAGGACACGGCCTCAGTGTGCGTATATATATATATATACATATATATCTCCACTATATTATCTATGTAAGAGTTACTGTGAGGACACAGCCTCAGTATATGTACCCACCATATGCTGTATGAATGAGTTACAATGAGGACTCTGCCTCAGTATATGTATCCACTAGATGCTCTGTGTATGAGTTACTATGAGGACACAGCCTCAGCATATGTATCCACTATATTGCCTATGTATGAGTTGATCTGGAGACTCTTCCTCAGTGTGTGTTCTTTATGTGCTCTGAGTCGCTGTGAAAACACAGCCTCAGTATATGCCCTCTACATGCTCTATAGGTAAGATGGTGTGGAGACATTGCTTCAGTGTATCTGTTCTCTATATGATTGATGTATTAGTGAAAGCACAATATATGTGAATGATATAAGTACATCCGCTATATTAGTCCAAGCTAATACTGGTTCTATGTGTGGGTTGTGAGTCACAACCTCAGTATATGTGAGTGGTATATTATGTGCATGAAGTTCTGTTAAAACACAGCCTCAATTTATCTCACTCATATAATCTTAATATGTGTGCAGGCATAGTGTCACTGTATATAGCAGATGTAGGCTATGTATGATTACTGTTTAAACAGACTCAGTATATGTGACTGATATATCTATGCATAAGGTGCTGTTAGAAACATCCACAATGTATGTGATTCATATAATCTGTATGCAGATTGGTAGTATTAGATAACCCCAATTTATACACGGCATTGGTTGATTTAATATATACAAATGATCTAAAGTCTGTTTTGCGCTGAAATGTAGCACTGCCCAATTCTAGCAAATAAAAATGCACTGTTGTAAGTAAATATTGCCTACTGTGGATTTTCTATTTCAGTTTTTTAAATGAAGTAGATAAGGAAACATACTGCTTTTGTCTTTGTATTAGATTCCTTCTCCCACATGTGTTTCAGGATAAGCAATTGACACATTTTACCACTTCAGATAGATTGCAGGTGTTACTGAACTTGTCTGAGTGCCTCTCCCAGGAGAGAGGGAGACCTGTTTTTCCAAAATGAAGCATGGTAATGTTCAACATAATCGTTTTTTTTTTGTGTGCCCTCCTATGTATTTATACATGATACCCATCTATAAACAAATTTCTATTGCCAGGCATCCTCTCCCCTCTGTTCAATATAGGGAATGTTTTTTTTCAATTGCTGGCAGTGTTTTACCTTTAGATATATGCTGATTACACAGTTTAGTAGATCATACTTGTTGCTGGAGCACAAATTTGGCTATTAATTGATCTCATAAGTAGGTAACGCTGAAGCCATTACCTGATTTAAAAGCTGTTAATATTGTTTTTTTCTTTCACCTGGTCATAACCTTTTATTCTTTAAATCTGAATTCATTTCCATAAATCATAAAATTATATTCAGTATTCTCTTTTATCCCTTGGATACCTGAAAGTTTGGCAATCCCTTTAGTATATGTCAGGGGTGGCATGCTTTTGGTTCTTAAGGAGTTAATGATCAGAAACTTCTGACAGATTCCCCTTCACAACAGGGGAACATTATAATTTCCTTTCTGCAATAAATGTATTCTTTTAGGCTCATATGCTCCAGGTAACTGTTGATGCTGTGTATTGCAAGTATTTTAAGGTCTTTCCAGTCCCCAGACCATTTTACCAGGTGTACTATTTCAGGTAAAATTCACCTGCTGCCTGAACAATAGAGGAAATCCCTAAACAGATAGTTCCATTAACCCCTTAAGACCGGAGGGCGTACTATTACGTCCTCTAATAGGCGGCTCTAAACGCCGCCGGGCGTAATAGTACGCCCTCCGGTCTTTCTGTACTTACCCGGTCGCCGGTGGTCCCACGCCGGCGATCGCGGTGGGGGGGACTCCCAGGGAGCCCCCCGCGGCACGACCGTCCTCCAGGAAGCCCCCCGGCCGTGTGAGAGTGGGGTCCTAGCGA